ACATGCACAAACGATTTCTCAACTAGGGCGCAATGGCTAAAGTTACAATTTAATGTGAATAGTTTCTTCAAAGGAGCTCCTATAACAGACCTGCCCTTGGCTCAATCAGTCGAGTGAAGCGCCTCACCCAACACCTTCCCTTTTCTGTACATTCAAAGGAAGGTGTTGGGTGTTGTGCTCTCCTTTCCTTTCAACCATTTCCCATCCTGGTGGCTTTCATTTCACTTCTCAATTCAGGCCAGCTGCAACTAAGCACATGAGCGCGGGTTACGGTATTGTGGTCCCACAGCGAATTTCGCAGGCGCCGCTCAATTTATAGATAGCACCGCGTGCCCCCCACCCTTCCCCCTCCCCAACCCACTTAACCCCGATGATCCTATTTTCCGAGTTAACTGTAGACACTTTCAAGAATTAACTTCTTCAATGGTAATGGTCAGCCGTTTTGTTCATAATGATGCTGTGCCATGTCCACGTACGCCAAAGCTGAGCAATACGCCATATATGGAAGTGCCAAGATTCATCGAGAATCGAACTTGGACACTGCTTCGAATACGTAAGAGTAATACTGTTATCACAGTTCGAAAAATTCAGGCACAGCACGGTAAACATTGGTGAAACATACAGTGTTGTGGAAATTAGAGACATCTGGGAAGCCCCTTCATTGAAGAATGGATTCTGAAATTACAAACCAACAACCTAGCATAACTGCGGTCGTTGTAGTCGTCCATAATTTGACGGCGGAATTACATTCATTCGCTTGAATGTTTCGATACGTTTAAATGGCTGTCAGCACGTTTTACTGAAATTCCTGAGCATATGAACATCGGAGCATTAGACTCGACAAATTATCGGACCTTAAATGCTCCTGAAACATTATATGACTTATATGTAAGTAACCATCACGAAGTTCAATAGCATTGAACAGCAGTGGTTTAACTTTCAACTTGTCGGAAAAAATGTTATGGCAAGCTAGATCAGTTCTGTGTACTGCGAAAAGATCCAATCCAGAAAAAAGGCACGCCTTGAAAGGATGGAAATCATGAATACAGACTTTTTTGCCGTTGTTGCCATTCAGACAGAGCACGAAACTTGAATATATTCATTGAATTCAACAGCTCTTCTGAATTAAGGCGCACATGAAAACTGCCAATGAAACAGAGATAAGCAATAGCATAATACATAGAAACAGAACGATAAGGGAGTGAGCACACTTCGGATTCTGCAACAAAATCTGTTATCTTGATAACCACTGAGTGATAAGCGACATTTAAACATACAGAACCCTCAAATGGGACAGCTACAAGCGCTCCAATTAGGCGACCATGCAGACAGTTAGACGAGTTCTTAGCTATCCAGGCACTCAAAAGAGCATATGGGTAGCGGAACTTCTCCCCGATCGCGGCTTTCTCTCTTGCGGCATGCGGCAAAAGTCATTGCAATTACCGTACTCACCCCACCTCCCCGCCAATCGATAGAACGCGATATATTTTGTTGATTGCCTTGCTTTTTTATTGGATTTGATCGTTTTTTCTTCTTTTTCTTTTTCGTTTTCATGTTTATTAGTCTTGATTAATTAAAAAGGCTCCTCCTATGTAAGCGACGATCAAGCCTGCATTGAAATTGAAGAAAGCGGTCAGCCAATTCAAATAATTAAAGGACTCCCCACCCAACAAATTGCGCGCTCCAATCTTCCATCACAATCCTGCGATACGCGGCGGGTGCGGCGTGTGCGACGCCGTGGTAAGGGAGAAGTTCCCGGACCCAAGAGCATATGCATATCATCAAACGTGGTCTCGGGCAACAACTTCAATTCTAATTTTCACGTCTACGGAGCAAATTTCATAAAAAAAACCTTTGAAGGTAACTTCAGGTAAATGTGCAAATGCGATAAGCGGAGTGAAGTTTATCGCTATCATTCGAAAGAAATAACAGATCAGGACCAACAAGTTGGGGCTGAGAAAAGAAGTGTCCTCTTTACGCCACTATTCTTCGCCACGGTGCGCTCTAATCTGACATTTCTAATAAGGAAAGCCCTCGCCTGGCCTGACGTATGCGGACCGTCCAGTCGAGAAAGTGGGAATGCATCAAACAAAACTACCCCACTGTTACCACCCATTAAGCGACTCTTTGGATCATGAAAATCGTAGATCCAAAACCGGTGCTGGCCTGGTG